AGCTAATTTACGTTGAGTAGGCTAACCACGTTATTACATTAATGCATGTAAGGTGAACTAGCAAACATCATCATAGCTACATGCAGCTGTCCTCTTGTTTGATGGCAGATATTCCCTTCACCCTGGCACCGGCACCGTTTCAAAAGTACCGATTTGGCACCGGTATCGGATAAAACCTAAACGATACCCATCCCTACTCATGAACAAGGCAACACAGGATTTTGTAATCTCGACCTCAAGATCAGAGGTCAAGTTTTCTTAAAATCTTGTAATAACTTAAGAAGGAAATGACCTAGGAGTTTCAAATTGATACCATAGGTTTGTCTACTAGGAGGCTGAGGGGTAGCTCTAGCAGCTGCCAGTATTTTGTTTTCCTTTTTTAACCAATTCAGTGTTGCAGGCAACATTAATTTTCATTTGGAGCTGTGTTTTTATTTGCCTGGTCACTGAATATTCAGTACTTACTGCCTTTTGTTCACCTGGGCACACCAGATGTTTCCTCACTTTGCGTGTCTGCTGCTGTAATTTCTTCCATTGATAATTTTCTGCACGAACCACAGTTAAAGCAAACATTCAAAACGAATTCAAGTTGTAAAATCAAGTAAAAAGCAGCACCTTTCATACTCAGCCTACTCTGTTATTGTAAAAAATAGTGTAGCTTTAAGATTTACTTTGGAATAAATTTAGCAGTTTTCTTTTTTTTTTGTTAGTTTTTTTTTAATCCCAGGACTAAAGTGTAACTGATGGATGTTGTTGTTTATGTTAGAGAGAGAAGCCGGATCAGAGCTCTGGGGAAACGAACCCTCCCCTGTCCCAGTTCTCCAGACCCAGCCTGACGTCCTCGCCTCACAGCAACTTGATGAATGAAAGCTTCCTGGAGTGTCCCGTCTGCCAGGCCGAGTATCCAGTCAGTCACCACCGAGAACTGATGAACCATCTAGAAATCTGTCTAAACTGAGCTGAGCCTGGAAGCTCTTTAATGATGGATCTTCTTTAAGATGGATTGGTTGTTAAATTAAAGTTATTTTGATAAATTAATGTGACAAGTTGCTTAAGCTGTGTTTGAAACGAATCCTCAAAGCTTTGATTAAACATAACAGCAAAGATTTCCCCAGAAATGTAACTGAGTTTGGAGCAATCTCTGCTTCATCCAGCACAGCCAGGCAGCTGCAGCTGCTTACAGCTCTTGGCAGCATACTGTTGCAGCTGCTTGAAATCTGTAATTAGCAATAAATGCACTATGTAAAGGGCTACATCTTGTCTTCATTCTATAGTATTTACAGATTGTCTCTCTAAACTGGCCTTGTATTATCTGGACTGGACTAGCACACCAGCTGTGCTGGATGCGGAGGGATTGCAGAGGAATAACACCTTGCATGTTTGTGTACAAAATAAACACTATTAGTTGGAAAATTGTTTGAAGTTTGGTTTAAATACTCTGTCGAGACTGTGCTCCATGTAATAAATCTACTGATATTGATCTTTTTTTGATGCACTCAAATTATTTTTGGTTTCAACTGATATATACAAATATACAAGCAACTATTTGATGTTTTGAGTGTTGTTGCTTTTTAGCAGGAAGTGTTTTAGCAAACGGCAGTGGTAGGTTTATTTCTATAGCACATTTTATTACATGTAAACTATGTGCTTAAAACAGAAGGCAGTGAAAAGAGCAAAATAAAATCAATTTAGAAATATTTCCAAAGTGCAGCACTTAACAAATTTCTCAGACTACTTGTCATTAAAAACAAGAAAACACATATTTTAGAAATTTATCAAAAAATAGTTTAAACTAAAACGATATGTTATTTATTAGGTAAACAACAAACCAAATTCATGTTTTTATGTCCAAATGTGAGTGAGCACATCATCACGTCATCACTTAAAGTGAAAATGCAAAGACTTCCTTTTAAGCATTGCAGAGCAAACAGCATCAGAAAGTCTAGTCTCCACCCTTTCTCCTCCCTTTTACTTCTTATCAGCATCTGTCAACATTCATTTTTCTGTTTGTCTGCAGGAGTGAGCAGTGTGTGCATTTCACATTTAGTACCTTTTCAGCCTGCATGGATACAGACCTTCACATTCATTCCCTTCACTTGAGAAACTTGACTTTTTTTTCTTTCTTCTCTGAGCTGCACCACTCAAATCAGGTTGCTACCACTATAATGGAAACCGCAGCTATCAGTGCAGTTTTTCTGGTCTCTGTAGCTGCAAATACAGGAGCTGCAGTCCTGGTAACCTGTGGACGCAGGCTGCTTGCCAATAAGACCATCCTGACGCTCAACTTGTTCGTGGCTGATCTGCTGTTCGTCAGCATGATCCCGCTGATTGTGACAGTGCGTTGGACCGTGTCCTGGGAGCTGGGGTATGCAGCCTGCCACACATTGCTCTATGTCATCTGTATGAGTGGCTGTGTCACCATCACAACCTTGGCCACGATCAGTGTGGAGAGAGTCCAGGCTATTCTCTGGCTGCAGACTGTGCCAAGTCTGGCTCCCAGGATGGTGACTGTGACCCTCGTCTTCATCTGGGCTTTCTCTGCACTCACCTCCCTCCCCCTCAGTCTGTTCTTCACTGTGATGGAAGTGGATTTCCCAAAGCTGGTATGGATGAATTTAAAAAAGAGGAAATATTTCTACAATAGAGCTATGCCTATGTTTGTTATTATCTCCGCAGGAACACGGTCACATCTGTACTCTCAAGTGGCCTGACCCAGCAGGGGAGATTGTGTGGAACGTAGTCTTCACTGCCCTGAGCTTCCTTTTCCCAGGACTCATCATTCTGGTTAGTTACAGCAAAATATTGCAGGTGGGTTAATGCTGTCTTTGCTAAGGATGGCAGGCAGCGAGGAGAAGGACAGATCAGCTGTTGTCTGTTTTTATGCTTCTAACGCAAATTGTAAAAATCCAGCTCTGAATTTACCGTTTTCTCAATTTACAAGTTTCTTACATGAAGACAGAAATATACATGAGTTAACTTAATTTTTAAACTAAAAATGTTTTTTGGCCACTTCAGTTTCTTTTTCCAGCTGTCATTATACTTATATTATTAATTAAATAAGCATTCTTCCTTGAATTAATGCATGGATATCCTGATTTCTTAGACATTTCTCTGTCCCCGTGGGGGGGGGGAAATGTACGCTTACTAATTATTACCTTTGTGTATACGTTCAGTGCTCTCCGCTATCAACTGTTAACACTAAACTGGGCAACCAGTTATGCCAATGTATCCATGAGTGTGACACAGAGAACAGAAGAACATGGTGACCAGCTGCAAATTGATTTTAGCGCTCAGTAGACTTTATGGATGAGACAAATAACACTGTTTCCATGCTTCATGTGTAAATCCATATACAGCTCAATCAGGGTGTGTAAATGGTTTCATCATGTCTCTGTAACCACAGGTTTTTGCATTGTATCAAATATTGTATTTCTGTTCCAGATTGCTAAAAATTGCAGGTTAAGGCTCTGACCCAGAGACCGTCAGCACCCCAATGGAGACTCTCCTCACTACTACATCTCCCGCCAGGATATGAAGCTGTTCCGTACTATGCTGGTCTTGATGCTTTCCTTCTTAGTCATGTGGAGCCCTATTTTCATTATCTTCTTCGTCATACTGGCCCACAACATACAGGGTCACATATATGTCTCTTCCACCATGTTCTTCTGGGTGGTGACGTTCACTCTGGCAAATTCAGCGCTCAATCCCATCCTCTAATCGGTCTGCCAGTTCAAGAACAGCTGGTGCAAACGCTGCTGTGGCTCAGTTGTGTTTCCAGTGAGAAAAAGACCCACCAGTGGGTGAACACTGGGAATACATCCATAATCGTGTCAAATAGAGCAGGGATGTCAAACTCATGTTACATTGCGGGGCCACATACAGCCCACTTTCACCTTTAGTGGGCCACACCAGTGAAACTCTTCTTTCTCTCTGTGTAAAGAAGTCTAAATACACATTTGAGATATCTTAATATAAGAAAAAGAAGTGCAATTTCAACCATATGTCTTATTTTCCTACATGACTAAGAAATGCTGCTGTATTAAATGAATCTGTCAGCATGACATGGTAAGAAATTAGAAGAAATAAATGTAAAAAATTACAGAAAACGTTCTAGTAGCTTGTTATTCAGATTGTCTTGTAAATATAAAACAGAACATGTTTTTTTTCTATAGTAGTGAAAAAACAGGCATTTTGTCAGTTCCTTAATTGTTCATATATTTGTTCATTACTTTACTGTAGTATGAATGGCTGTGGTGGAGGTCTTTTTCATTAGGCTATAAAGCTTGATTATTTTTACAAAATGTTTAAAGCCTTCCAGTGGGCCAGATTAGAGTCTTTGCCAGGCCAAATTTGGACACCGGACATTAAGTTTGACATTCCTGAAATAGTGCAAAGCATGTATGTCTGGTGGCTTTTGATGTACAACATACCGTACACATCACATATAAGACAAAGAGTGTGAATGCAACACCTACAGGATTCTGCATTAGTGTCAAAAGCAGTGTTTCCAAAAGGTTATTGAGGGCTATCTATCTATCTATCTATCTATCTATCTATCTATCTATCT